TTTTTTTTTTTTTTAAACCTTTGAGAGGTGCCATAGGGAAACGCAGGCCAGGGCAAGCGGCAGCCAGGCCGGAATGTTCCGGAAACAGCCGCTCTGCCGCCCGGGCATCCCGCCCTGCGGCCCCGGCTGAGCTCCACCCCTTGCTAACCTCCCTCCTTCCTTCCTACCCTCCCCGGCCTCAGCTCCACGTGCAAGAAGCCTCCGGTAACCACCTGAACCCGGAGCCCAGCCAGCCGGCCCCCAGCGTGGACCTGGACTTCCTGGAAGATGACATCCTGGGCTCGCCCGCCGCGGGGGGCGGGGCGGCGGGCGGCGGGGGCGCCGACCAGCCCTGCGACATCCTCCAGCAGAGCCTCCAGGAGGCCAACATCACGGAGCAGACGCTGGAGGCCGAGGCCGAGCTGGACCTGGGCCCCTTTCAGCTGCCCACGCTGCAGCCGGCGGACGGTGGGGCAGGCCCAGCGGGGGCCGCCGGCGCTGCAGCCGTGGCCGCGGGGCCCCAGGCCCTGTTCCCCGGCGGCGCAGACCTGCTGGGGCTGCAGGCCCCGCCCACCGTGCTGACGCACCAGGCCCTGGTGCCGCCCCAGGACGTGGTCAACAAGGCCCTGAGCGTCCAGCCCTTCCTGCAGCCCGTGGGCCTGGGCAACGTGACCCTGCAGCCCATCCCGGGCCTCCAGGGCCTGCCCAACGGCAGCCCCGGGGGTGCCACGGCGGCCACGCTCGGCCTGGCGCCCATCCAGGTGGTCGGCCAGCCGGTCATGGCGCTCAACCCGCCCGCCTCTCAGCTCCTGGCCAAGCAGGTGCCTGTCAGCGGCTACCTGGCCTCGGCGGCCGGCCCCTCGGAGCCGGTGACCTTGGCCTCAGCCGGCGTCTCCCCGCAGGGGGCCGGCCTGGTCATCCAGAAGAGCCTCCCGGCCGCCGTGGCCACCACGCTCAACGGGAACTCCGTGTTTGCGGGCGCGGGCGCGGGCGCCGCCACGGCCGCAGCCGGCGGGGCGCCCTCGGGACAGCCGCTGGCGGTGGCCCCGGGCCTCGGCGCGGCGCCACTGGTCCCGGCACCCAACGTCATCCTGCACCGCACACCCACGCCCATCCAGCCCAAGCCGGCCGGGGTCTTGCCCCCCAAGCTCTACCAGCTGACGCCCAAGCCCTTCGCGCCCGCCGGTGCCACGCTCACCATCCAGGGCGAGCCGGGCGCGCTGCCGCCGCAGCCCAAGGCGCCACAGAACCTGACCTTCATGGCGGCGGGCAAAGCTGGCCAGAACGTGGTGCTGTCCGGCTTCCCCGCGCCGGCCCTGCAGGCCAGCGTGTTCAAGCAACCGCCCGCCACCACGACCGGGGCGGCGCCGCCGCAGCCGCCGGGGGCGCTGAGCAAACCCATGAGCGTGCACCTCCTGAACCAGGGCAGCAGCATCGTCATCCCCGCACAGCACATGCTGCCCGGCCAGAACCAGTTCCTGCTGCCGGGCGCCCCCGCCGCCGTGCAGCTCCCGCAGCCCCTCTCCGCCCTGCCGGCCAACGTGGGCGGGCAGATCCTGGCGGCGGCCGCAGCGCCTCACGCGGGCGGACAGCTCATCGCCAACCCCATCCTCACCAACCAGAACCTGGCGGCCCCGCTGAGCCTGGGCCCCGTGCTGGCCCCGCCCTCGGGCGCGCACAGCGCCGCACACATCCTCTCGGCCGCACCCATCCAGGTGGGGCAGCCCGCGCTCTTCCAGATGCCCGTGTCGCTGGCGGCGGGCAGCCTGCCTACGCAGAGTCAGCCGGCGGCCGCGGGGCCCACCGCCACCACCGTCCTGCAGGGCGTCACCCTGCCCCCCAGCGCCGTGGCCATGCTCAACGCCGCCGATGGGCTGGTGCAGCCCGCCACACCTGCTGCCGCCGCCTCCGGGGAGGCCACCCCAGTCCTCACGGTGCAGCCCGCACCGCCAGCACCGCCCGCAGCCAGCACGCCGCTGCCCCTGGGCCTCCAGCAGCCGCAGGTGCAGCAGTCCCCGCAGGCCACGGCCCCTGCGGCCACCGCCCCGCCTCAGGCCAGCACGCCCCAGCCCAGCCCGGGCCTGGCGTCCAGCCCGGAGAAGATGGTCCTCGGGCAGCCGCCACCTGTAGCCACCACAGCCATCCTCACTCAGGACTCCGTGCAGATGTTCCTGCCCCAGGTACTCGGGGCCCGGGCGAGGGTGAGGGGTGTTGGGAACTGGGAGACCCCAGAGCTGAGAGAGGCTGGCCAGGGTCTGGTGGGGTGGGGCTGACACGTGGCCACCCCTGGCTGAGCTGGACAGACCGCGGGCTGACAGCCACGGGGAGGGATGGGCTGACAGGCGGGGAGGGGTCTCGGAGTGCACAGCAAATGACTGAGTGAACGTGATGGCCAGGTCAGGAAAGCAGGAGGGCCAGGCGGGCTAGGGGTGGGACCAGCCAGCCGGGTCCCGCTGCTGCGCCCGCCACCCCCTGCTCTGCAGCCCTGGGGCAGGGGCGGTGTGGACGGGGTCCCCGGGCGTGGCCTTCTGACCCCTGTGCGGGCTGCCCCGTTGCAGGAGAGGAGCCAGCAGCCTCTCTCCACAGAGGGCCCCCACCTCTCCGTGCCCGCCTCGGTCATAGTCAGCGCCCCGCCTCCTGCCCAAGACCCAGCCCCGGCCACCCCCGTCGCCAAAGGAGCTGGCCTCGGCCCTCAGGCCCCCGACAGCCAGGCTTCCCCGGTGCCGGCCCCCCAGGTAGAGGAACCCCAGCAGCCTCTGTCCTCAGCTCAGCCCCCAGCCTCGCCCCCTTACCCCCTCACTGCTGTCCGCCTCCTCGCGCCCGGCCTGCCTGCCTCTGTCTCGCTGACCTGGGGAAAGGTGCTGTCGTCTCCTACTGCCACCCCCACCCCGCACTGCCTGTGTCTCCTCGCCCCCGGCAGGCAGGGGGAGGGCTCCACACGCTGGACAGGGCTGCAAGACACACAGCAGGAAAGGGGGTCTTCCCTGAGGTGGTGATGTCCACGTCCGGGCAGGGAGCATGCTCGGAGAGTCCACGGGTGGTAGACTAGGTGCGCAGGGACCAGCCCTGGCCTTGACCCGTGGCCTCCTGCTGGGGCTTCTCGCATCCTGTTTTGTGCATAGATGGTCACGTGCGTGGATTTCCTCCTCCACGTCTGTAAAATGCAGCACACTCTCCTGTGGTCCTCACCTTGCTCCTGTCCTTTGAAAGTTGACCTGGAAGATGGTTCTTCACCTTTCTGAAAGCCGCCAAGCTGTCCGCCGTGCAGACGGCACGTTTTCCTCTAAGCAGTCCCTGTTGTCGGGCTTGTGGGTCATTTCCTGTCCTTGGTTGTTGCGAGCAAACCTGTACAGACTGCGTTAGAAGTGGGAGGGCCTGCAGACACGCGCGTTTGTACTGTTGATGGACATTGGGCCACAGCTGGGTTCGAGCTTTCTCAGCTGTTCACAGTTTGCATCTGTTTTCTTGAACTTGACCAGTCTGATAGGTGGAAAATAGTATTTTGCTTTAGGTTATTTTTAAATTGTGGTTCAATGCTCTCTGTACTTCCTGTTCTACGAAATTGTTCCTACCTTTTGCCATTTTCGCACTTGGCTTGCCGATCATTTTCTTGTTTATTCGTAGAAACTCTTTACATATCAAAGAAATTTAGCCTTTTGTCTCACAGGAGAGGGGAGGGTAGGCTGTGTCCTGGAGGAACAGGTGTTGTACTTGTCCAGGAAGGACAGCGGACAGGGAGAAGGAGGAGGAGGGACGTCACAGAGGCCGGGGTGGTAGTACGCGATCAGCACAAGCTCGGGCTTGAACAGCTGTGATTCCTCCGGGGGGCTGTGCCTGAGCAGCTGGTGTCTGAATTCTATACCCAGATGTGAGGGCGCTTCGGGGTGGAGTAAACGAATTCACAGTCAGGGGTGCTTCACAGAGCTTGTGGGGAGTGGACTGAAAACATAACTTTATTCTGGTGCTAAGTAAAAAAAAAAAAAAAAAAAAAAAAAAGAAACCCATGCATTGTTTTTTTCTTAAGAGGCATCTTCCGGCCGGTGCCGCGGCTCACTAGGCTAATCCTCCGCCTTGTGGCGCCGGCACACCGGGTTCTAGTCCCGGTCAGGGCGCCGGATTCTGTCCCGGTTGCCCCTCTTCCAGGCCAGCTCTCTGCTGTGGCCCGGGAATGCAGTGGAGGATGGCCCAAGTGCTTGGGCCCTGCACCCGCATGGGAGACCAGGAGAAGCACCTGGCTCCTGCCATCGGATCAGTGCGGTGCACCGGCCACAGCGCGCTGGCCGCGGCGGCCATTGGAGGGTGAACCAACGGCAAAGGAAGACCTTTCTCTCTGTCTCTCTCTCTCACTGTCCACTCTGCCTGTCAAAAAAAAAAAAAAAAAAGAGGCATTTTTCGTGGCTGCTAGGCACAGACTGTGCACTGGAGAGACGTTCACTGGCCTGATGTTGAAGTTTATTTATTTGAAAGTCGGAGAGAGCAGGGTCTTCCATCTGCTGCTTCACTCCCCAAACAGCCACAACGGCTGGGACTGGGCCACCCTGAAACCAGGAGCCAGGAGCTCCATCCGCACTTGGGCCATCTTCCGCTGCTTTCCCAGGCGCATTAGCAGGGAGCTGGATCGGAATGGAGCAGCCGGGACTCAAACTGGGTCTTTGATGTGGGAAGCTGGTGTCAGGGACTGCGGCCTAACCCACTGCGCCCCGATGCTGGCCGGGAACCCCATCCGGGTCTCCCCGTGGGTGGTGGGGCCCCGAGCGCTTCTGGCGTCCCCTGCTGCCTGCTGAGGTGCCCATTAGTAGGGAGCTGGAATCAGGGGTGCAGCTGGGCCTTGCACCTGGCACTGCGGCGCAGGACGTGGCCATCCGCGAGCACAGCCTCCCGCCGCACCAGGCACCCACCCTGCCTCTCACTGTTAAATCGGAGGCAGGGGGCTGCCGCTGTGCAGCAGGTTAAGCCGCCGCCTGCAACGCCGGCACCCCAGGTAAGCCCCCCTGCTCCACTTCTGAACCAGCTCCCTGCGATGGCACCTGGGAGGCGGCAGATGATGGCTCAAGTACTTGGGCCCCTGCACCCGCATGGGAGACCCGGATGGGGTTCCTGGCTCCTGGCTTGGACCTGCCCCAGTCTTGGCTGTTGTGGCTGTTTGGGGAGTGAACCAGTGAATGGGAAATCTCTCTCTGTCACTCTGTCTTTCAAATAGCAAAACTGAAGCAGGTCCAGATAGGCTGCCGGGAACCGGTCTGTGGCTGCTCCTTCTGGCTTTCCCCGGCCCTCTCTTCCCACTCCACGTAAACTCCAGGAGGTGGTGTGTGTGTGTGTGCGCGCGCGTCTGCTCCGTCCCAGTGGCCACTCAGAGCCTGGCAGGTAGTGGGCACCCTGCGAGTGTTTATTGAATAAATAAGGGGAGGAGCTGCAATTCGCCACCAGCCCAGCGGGTAAAAGTGTTGTTTGCTCTCGGCAGTGTGGGCAGGAGGCCTCTGGGAAGGAAGAGGTGGGAGCGTGGCATGTGCCAAGGTCCTGAGGCAGGGGCCGACTTGGGATGAGCAAGGAACAGCAAGCAAGCAGTAGGAGAGCAGTAGATGGAAGGAGATGGCGTGGAAGAGTTGGTGGGGCCCTGTGCGCCAAAGCAAGGAGTTTGGGCTGGAGGCCAGGGGCAGAGCCTGAGTCCCTGATGGTCCACCCTCCCTCCAGCTGCCCAGCAGGGGCCAGGAGGTGGCTGCTGTAGCCCCTGGGGACGAGATGCCAGTGGCTCGGAGACCATGTTGAAGGTCTCTGGAGCCAGCTTGAAACCTAGGCAGCTGTGGCCGTTAACATAACAGGAAGTGACCTTCCTGTCGTGTCCGGCTGCTGTTCCAGGCACTTTGCAAGTGGCCTCCTGTTTAAACCTCAGCTGGGCAGCGCCAGTACCCCCAGTTTCTTGAGCTCAGACTCCATGCAGCCAGAGAAAGCAGGCTCCTGTGAAACTCCCGTGCGCAGAGTCACTTACAGTCTGCGAAATGACCCGCAGGCTGGGTGTGCGGGAAGCGGCGGTGCGTTCCGGGGACGGGCTCGGGGCCGTCTCCGAGACCTCTCGCTCCCCGGGCGCGGACGTTCCGAAATCCCCACACCCCTGGAACCAAAGCTGCTGCGGCCCCGAGAATTCTCAGCCTGCCTGCCAGTCCGGGCTGGAACGGGAGCCGCGCTGTGTGCTGCCCGCCGGTCTCTTCTCTTTCCTCTGTGCCTTTTACATGCTGGCCGCAGCCCGCGCCATCACAAGCGGGCACCGCTGGGGCGGGGGGGCGGGGAGCCAGGCACTGTGGGGGACTGTGGGCGAGTTGCTCGCGTCTCCGCCTCGGTTTCCCCCGCTGTACGACGAGGGCAGTAGCAAGAGCTGCTTTGTAGGCTTGGGAGTTAACACGGGGCTGTGGCTGGGAAGTGCATAGAGCAGGGTTGAGCTTCAAGTTCCTGCTAATGACAGCAGGGCTTCAGACAGCTAGAAACCATGTCAGTCAGCCAGCAGGAGCGCCAGCCAACAGTTATTTATAGACCCTGAAATGCAACTTTGTGTCGTTCTCATGAGTCACAAAGTCTTTTTTTTTTCCCCCTTCCAATCATTTAAACATGTAAGGGTTGGCATCGCTGGCAGTGAAGATGCCGCTATGGTAGTGCCTGGGTTTAAGTCCCTGCTTCACTTACGGTCCAGCTGCCTGCCGCCGTGCACCCTGAGTTGCAACAGGGGGTCCTCAAGTGCCTGGGCCCCTGCCACCTACCTGGGAGACCCGGCTGCAGCTCTGGGCTCCTGGCTGCCGCCCAGCCCAGCCCAGCCCAGCCCAGCCCTGGCTGTGGCGAACATTTGAGGAGTGAACCAGCCGCTGGCAGATCCCTCTCGGTCCCTCTGCCTTTCAGACAGATAAAATCAATCCGCCAAATAAGACCTTAAGAAATAAAATTAAGATTATTCCTAGCTGGGGGATCCTACGGACTGGCCGGCAGGGAGCATGTCCGTCCCTCGAGGCCCGCCAGGGTCCCCAGACCCACAGACGCTGCCGGCCGGGTGAGGCCCTGGGAGCCCTGTGACCGGGTCCTTGCAAATTCAGGGAATGGATAGCAGGCTGATTCCAAGGGGGTCGTTCTGTGTGGCCCACGAGGGACGTGATGAAGACCCACAGAGCCCGGGGCAGAGAGGAGAGCTCCCACCCCCGGCTTCAGGATTGATGAAAGGAATGGTCAGTGCACACAGGCGTCTCCGATATGTTCACCGTGTGGCTGACCGAGTCCCAGAGGGTGGGACTGTGCGCGTGGTCCCCGGATGGCGAGTGCCCGGGCGGGTTCCCGTGGTGTGCCCATGCCTGTGCCTTTTGCACATACCTGGGGTGGGTTTCTTTTTTTTTTTCTTTTTTTTTTTTTTTTTCTTTTTGACAGGCAGAGTTAGACAGTGAGAGAGACAGAGAGAAAGGTCTTCCTTTTCCATTGCTTCACCCCCCAAATGGCCGCTACAGCTGGCGCGATGCGCTGATCTGATACCAGGAGCCAGGCGCTTCCCCCCTGGTCTCCCATGTGGGTGCAGGGGCCAAGGACCTGGGCCATCCTCCACTGCACTCCCGGGCCACAGCAGAGAGCTGGACTGGAAGAGGACCAACCGGGACTAGAACCTGGGGTGCCAGCACCGCAGGCGGAGGATTGGCCAAATGAGCCGCGGCGCCGGCCTGGGTGGGTTTCTAGAGGCTTGGGGGTCGGGGTGTCCGTGGAGAGCATTGTGCCCGGGGAGCCCCGGGCCTCAGAGCTGCACTCCACCTGCTTGTGGCTGCCGCGCGCTGCCCTGTGCCGGGCCAGGAGGTGGAGGAGCGCCCTCCATCCGCACATGGCTGCCACCTAACAGACCCCCATGCTAGTTAACAAAAATGATAAAAATGACTGCATGCAAATTCTGAGAATTTAGAAGACTTTGAAAAGGACAAAGGAAATGAAATCCCCTCCCCATGCTACTGGAAGGAGGCGGTTGTTAACTGTGTAATAGGCCCCCCCCCCTTTTTAAAAAAAATTTATCTATTCATTTTTGTTTGTTTAAAAGGCTGAGCCACAGAGAATGATCTTCCATCCGCTGGGTCACTCCTCAAATGCCCACAATTGCTAGGGCTGGGCCACGCTGAAGCCAGGAGCCTGGAACTCCATTCGGGTCTCCCACGTGGGCAGAGGCCGAAGGGCCTGGGCCATCTTCCTTTGCTTTCCCAGGCACTTTAGCAGAGAGCTGGATAGGAAGTGGAGCAGCCGGGACTTGAACCAGCAACTGGCATCTATACAGGATGCTGGCACTGCAGGCTGGGGCTTTAACCTCTGCACCACAGCGCTGGCCCCAATCATCAAAAGTTTGGGGTTTTTTTGTTGTTTTTTTGTTTGTTTGTTTGTTTGTTGACAGGTAGAGTTATAGACAGTGAGAGAGAGACAGAGAGAAAGGTCTTCCTTCCATTGGTTCATTCCCCAAATGGCCACTACGGCCGGCGCTGCGCCAATCCGAAGCCAGAAGCCAGGTGCTTCCTCTTGGTCTCCCACGCGGGTGCAGGCACCCAAGCACTTGGGCCATCCTCCACTGCACTCCTGGGCCACAGCAGAGCGCTGGACTGGAAGAGGACTGGAAGACTAGAACCTGGCGCCCATATGGGGTGCCGGCGCCGCAGGCGGAGGATTAACCAAGTGAGCCACGGTGCCGGCCCCAAAAGTATTTTTTTTTTTTTAAAGTGCAGGGCAAGTGTCCCAGCCATGCCTCCATCCTTAGCCCACTGCTGCCCCACTGCCACAGCCCCCTCCCCCTCCGACAAACCACTGACTTATGCTCGTTTTGTTTTGTTTTTCATTTCCATCTTACTGATTTGAAAGGCAAAGAATTCTCCTGTCCATGGGTTCATCCCCCAATAGCCAGGGCTGCGTCAGGCCAAAGCCGGGATCTGGGAACTCCATCCAGGTCCCATAGGTGGGTGGCAGGGGCCCATGCACTTGAACCGTCCCCACTGCCTCCCAGGGCGCACATGGGCAGGGACCTGATGTTGGGAGCGGAGCCGAACTTCAGCCCAGACGCTCTGATGCGTGCCGCGAGAGCCCCGGGCAGAATTGCCACGGCACCCGGTGCCTGCCACTGCTGTGTGTCCTGCAGGTCTCTGTGCCTCTGCAGCGCAGGGCACCTCCTCGCCCGAAGTCTCTCCTGCTAGTACCCAGAAGGCAGCGCAGTGCCCACTGCGGTGGGCTCCCAGGGCGGGCTTCCCTGCTCCTTGGCCAAGGTCATCAGCGCTCACCCTGTGCACAGTGTGTGTGCGTGTGTGGCCACATGTAGGTGTAGGCGCTGGCCTCCATTGCCACCGATGCGCCCCACATGCCTGGACGAATTTGCTTGCCTCCTGGAGCCTGTTTGCAAATGTGCATTTGTGCCCGGGAGTGTCTGTGCGAGACAGGGCTTACTGCTAATGTGAAGGGTAAATATGGACCCCCAAGGCGCTCAGATGTACCTGTGTGTTGTTGTAAGTGATGCCGTGTACCTCTTGAAATGCCTAAGCTCTTCGTGTGTTTTTGTGTGCAGCATCTGAGCCGATCCTTTGCCTCCTTCTTTGTGCTGGTTGTTACTTTTAGTGATTTCTAGAGGCTCTTTACATATGAGATGACCTCTCTTTATATCTGTGCTGTGAGCTGGAGATTTTTATACCTCCAGTCTGTCATTTGGGTTGCTACTTAAGTGTTCAGAGGGTGTGTGTGCGTGCACGTGAACGTTTGTAACGTGAATGAAATGTTTGGATTTGGAGATGCTTTTGAACTTTGCATTTTTAAAATTATTTCTTATTTATTTGAACCACTGGTTTGCTCCAAATCCCTGTGATGGCCAGGGCTGGGCTGGGCCGAATCCTGGAGCCTGGAACGCAGTGTGGGATGCAGAGTCTTAGCTGTCGGGCCACACGTCTGCTCCCCACGTTTTCTCCACTTTTAAATTTCAAGCATAGGGGTCAGCGCTGTGGCGCAGTGGGTCAAGCTTCCACCTGCGGTGCCACCATCCCATATGGGTGCCAGTTCAAGTCCCGGCTGCTCCACTTCTGATCCAGCTCCCTGCTAATGCTCCTGGGAAAGCAGTGGAGTATGGCCCAAGTGCTTGGACCGCTTCACCCACATAGGAGACCTGATTGAAGCTCCTGGCCCAGCCCTGACCACTGTGGCCATTTGGGAAGTGAACCAGCGGATGGAAGACCTCTCTCTCTCCTCTCTCTGAAACTCTGCCTTTCAAATAAATAGATCTTTTTTTTTTTTTTAATTCCAAGCACCTAGAAGTTTCAGGATGAGCACAAGGAGCTCCCACACATGTTGGTTGCTAACGCTCAGTGGTGGAGCCGCCCCCCCAGAGTGGGCAGCCCCAGATGAGTCGCGAGTGCGCCCGAGGGGCCTGGCTCAGCTGCCTGCCGCGGCTGCCACAGTGTCAAGCGAGGGGGGGCCTGGGCTCCAGTGCTGGCTCTGCCCCCGACCCCAGCTTCCTGCTCAGGCACACCCTGGGTGCCTGCGCCCATGTGGGCGTGCCCAGCCCCAGCTGCTGTGTGCATCTGCGGAGCGAGCTCTGTGTGTCTGTCCGTCTGTCTTCCTGCCCTTGATAACGAGGTGTTCTCCTGCGTAACCATCGCGCTGGCCGCGTGGCCAGCATGCACAGTGGCTGCTCCTTGCCGTGTGGCCAGGTGCTGTGGCCTCTTCCTGAGCGTCCACGCAGTGTTGGGAGCGTGGGGTGTGGCCCGGCAGCTGCTCGTCTCTCAGTTCCCTCTGCAGCCAGCTTTTGGAGGTCTTCCATTTTCCTCTGTTGCATCACCCCCCACCCTGTGTTCTTCATCAGCTTCCTGGAGGCGGGGCTATCAGGTCAAAGGTCATGACCCTCCCAAAGCGCCCCCCACAAGCTGCTTGCAGAGGGTTGTCCAGGGGACATTCCTCCAGCCATGTCCATGCTAGGAGCACCCCCCCCTCAGAGGTGGTAAACCTTTGTGGACGTCTGGGTGGATTGATTGATTGATTGAGATGTTTTTGTCTTGGAATTGCCGGGGCTTGGAGGGATGCTGGACCCATCCTGGAGGCCACAGCTAATGGTAGCCAGGAATCGTGAGGCAGCCACGTAGGAGGCTCCCAGCTGGGTCCTCCTGAGTCTCTGAGCCGTGTCCAAGCGGGGAGGGAAGGGGCCCAAAGCTGGAGCTCCACCTCTCGCCCCTGGCCTCAGTTTCTCATCTGTAAAATGGGTCCAGGGTTGCCACTGCTCTTAGGGCCCTGTTCAGATTCCATGAGTCAGTGCCGGTGCCCGTCTGTGCCGTCAGAGGGGCCACTGCTGGGCTGCGGGTTCCGTGGCACAAGTGTCAGGCACCAGCCCAGTGTTGGGTACACAGCTGGTGCCAACTGTGGCTTCCACGGTCGGTTCTGAGGGCAGAGTCCAGCCAGGCATGTCTTCGGTGAGGTTGCCACATGCGTGTCAGCACAGCTAGTCCCAGGGTCCGGTGTCGCCTGCCTGCACCCCCATGCCGGCACCTTCAGCCAGGGCCACCCAGGCACACGGAGGCAGAGGTCCTGGACACTTGGAAGGGGGCCCCGGACTCAGGTGCTAGCATCAGAAGGTGCCCCCAGCTGTGGTCGGGAGCCCAGCCCCGGGACCCGGCACACAGCAGGCAGGCGCTGGCAAAGGGGACACTGCCTGCCGCCCCTCCCCCGCTGCTGCGCTGGCTGCTCCCTGGCCTCCTGCCGCTGGGCGCTGGGCGCCGTGTCCTCACTGCTGTCCTGCTTCCTCCGCTGCTGCCACCCACCCCGCGGGGCCCAGGGCACTGGAGGGGCGGGGAGGGACCGAGGGGCAGGGCCTGGGGCCTGAGCCACAGGAGGGGCAGGGCCGGGGGGGGGGGGGGAGGTGCTGGCTAACACGGGGAGGGGGCGGCCAAGGCAGCTTCTGACCCCTGCCTCTCCTCCCCGCCCAGATCCCGGCAGCCGCTCCACTGAAGGGCCCCGGCCCCTCCTCGTCCCCTTCGCTACCTCACCAGGCCCCTCTGGGGGACAGCCCCCACCTGCCCTCCCCGCACCCTGCCCGGCCCCCCTCCCGCCCGCCCTCCCGCCCCCACTCGCGCCCGCCCTCCCAGCCCCAGAGTCTGTCCCGCCCACCCTCGGAGCCCGCCCTGCACCCCTGCCCGCCACCCCAGGCCCCACCCGCTCTGCCGGGCATCTTCGTGATCCAGAATCAGCTGGGTGTCCCCCCGCCTGTCAGCACCCCAGCCCCCACCGCCCCAGGCCCCCAGCCGCCCGAGGGGCCGCTGCCCGCCGCCCCCCACCTCCCTCCAGCCTCCACCTCCGCCGCTGCCGCCTCCTCCGAGGCGTCCTCCAGGCTGCAGGCCCCCGCGCCATCTGACTTTCAGCTTCAGTTCCCGCCCGGCCAGGGGCCCCACAAGTCCCCCACACCCCCGCCGACCCTCCACCTGGTCCCCGAGCCCGCGGTGCCCCCGCCGCCTCCGCGGACCTTCCAGATGGTGGCCGCCCCCTTCCCGACCCTGCCCCAGCCGAAGGCCCTCCTGGAGAGATTCCACCAGGTAACCTGCCAGGGGCCCGGCCACCTCCTGCCTGCCTATCCGCCACCCGTGTCTCTGCCCGCAGCCCCTCAACCGCCTTCCCGCCCTCAGGTGCCGCCCGGGATCCTGCTCCAGAACAAAGCGGGCGGGGCCCCCGCCGCCCCACAGACCCTCGCCAGCCCCACTGCCTCGGTGCTGGTCAGCAGCCAGGCCCCCTCCGGGACCCCTGCTGCCCCCAGCCACGCCCCTGCCCCAGCACCCATGGCCACAACAGGTAGGGGAGAGGTGGCCACGCGGGAGGGCTGGGGCAGGGCTGGGGGTGTGCACGCCCAGGGCACTGGGGGGAGGTACGGGAGGGAAGGCTGACTCCCTGACCCCAGGGACACTGGGGGGCTGCAGGCCCAGGAGGAGAGGCCTCTGTCTGTGCCGTGACCCCCCGGCCCTGTGTCCCCCCCTCCCCCACCCCAGGCCTCCCTCTGCTTCCCACCGAGAGCAAAGCTTTTGCCAGCAGCCTTCCAACCCTGGGCGTGGGCAAGGCCAGCACGTCCGGGCTGCAGGTAAGACCCCTCAGACGGGTGAGGGTGCGGTGGCACACAGGAGGTAGGAGTAGGAGGGGTGAGGGCGGGGGTGTGTGTGTGTCCTGCGGTGGAGCCCCAAGTCGGGGAGACACAGCAGGAGGTCAGGAGCCAGAACCCAGGAAGCCGGAGACCAGTGCACGCTGGATACACCCCCTCCCCTCTCTCCCGCAGCTGAAGAAAGCCCCCGCCCTGCAGCCCAGCAAGGAGGCCTGGTGAGTGGCAGCCCCCATGCCCAGGCCCCGCCCCCGGCCTCCCCAGGGGGCCGCCCTGAGCCCTGGTCAGCTGTGTGTGGGCTGTGCCAGCTCTCCATCAGTCCTCACGGGTGGGCAGCCTCACGGGTGGGCAGGCAGAACCCAGTGGGTAGACCCCCCGGTGTTTGAGATAAGTGGGTGCAAGTTTGGGTGCAGGGACAGAAATGGGCAGGGGGGAGGGGCAGCGGTGGGTGGGTGTCTGGGCAGGCAGGCAGATGTTGGCAGGATGCGGGTTGTGCACCTGGGGGAGGCATGGGGACGAGGTGGGGGTGCACGGGGGAGGAGTCCGTGCTGGCCTGCCTTCCTGCCTGCTCCTTCTTCCTCACCAGCATTTGTTAAATGCTCAGCTCCCAGCCTGTGCCAGGGGCTGGGACACCGGGTGGGCAAGGCTGGCTGTGGCCAGGGGCTGCCGGCCTTCAGCACAGGGTGAAGGCCGGGCTGGGCCTGAGGCCGAGACCCCCACGGGAGACCCCCACCGACCGGCCGGCCTCGCGGGGTCGCCGGGCCCCAGGCAGGTGGCGACACACTGACCCCTGGCGGCGGGACGCAGACTAGCGGGGAGCCCGGGTTTTTCCGGCGCTGGCTTCTGCCTCCTGAGTGCTGGGGACCATGACTCCGCCCCCCAGCCCGGCCTCAGTTTCCCTTACTGTAACATGAGGGTGCCCACAGCACACACCTGTGCCTCTCAGCGCGCGCCACCCCGCACTTCCCGGGGATCGCTTTGTGCTGAGGGTGCGCGGTCGGGGAGCGTCCCCTGGGCCTCACCCCGCCTCCGCGTGTGGTCTCTCCCCTTCCCCTCCGCACCCCAGTTTCCTGGAGCATTTGCACAAACATCAGGGCTCCGTCCTGCACCCCGACTGCAAGACCGCCTTCCCCTCCCTGCGGGACGCACTGCAGCGCCTGCTGCCCTACCACGTCTACCAGGGCGCCCTCCCCTCCCCCAGCGACTACCACAAAGGTGAGGCCCGCGCGGGGGGCGGGGCGGGGCGGGGGCTGCCCCGCGCCCGCCTGCGCCTGCGGGAGCCCGACCGCCCCAACCTCGCCTTCCCTCCTGGCAGTGGACGAGGAGTTTGAGACGGTGTCCACACAGCTACTGAAACGCACCCAGGCCATGCTCAACAAATACCGGCTCCTGCTCCTCGAGGAGTCCCGGGTAGGGTGCCCGCCCCGCCCCCACCCCTCGCGACCCCTCCCCCTCCCCACCCCCCTACTCATCCTGTTCCCTTCCCCCGCAGAGGGTGAGCCCCTCGGCTGAGATGGTCATGATCGACCGGATGTTCATTCAGGAGGAGAAGACCACCCTTGCCTTGGATAAACAGCTGGCCAAGGAGAAGCCCGGTGAGAGGGGCAGGGCGGGCCGGAGGGTCCCGCCGAGGGCGGCCTAGGGGGCCAGGTGCTCCATCAGGGAGCCAGGTGCGTGGCCTTCCCCGCCGCCGCCGCTAGGGGGCGCCCGAGTCACTCTCCCTCAGTCTTGGGTGGCTGGACGGGCGAGGCTAGCCAGGGCCCTGGTCTCAGCCCCTCTCCCCGCACTTGATGGCTCTGAGAGCATCCATCGATCCATCGATCCATCACACCTGGTGGCCTGGTCTGCCTCACCCCAGCCCCAGCCCCAGGGACTTTGCAGTTCCCCTGGGCCCTCGCCCTGCCCTCTGCCCTGGGCCCCGGCTTATCTACACACTGTTCCTGTTGGTTATTGAATCTGAGAGAGGGCCAGCTCCTGTCTGCTGCTTCCCTCCCTGCGAGGCTGGGAGGCTGGAGCCCAGCCACTCCGGCTGTCAGTCATGGAATGCAACCCGGGCACTCTGCCGTGGGACCCCCGTGTCTTAACACTAGGCTCAATGCCCACCCCCTCATTTTTAAAAAGTGGTCAAAATTCTTATTTATTTGAGAGGCAGAGTTACAAACAGGGAGAGAGGTCTTCCATCTACTGATCCACTCCCCAGTTGGCTGCAACAGCCTGAGCTGAGCCAATCCGAAGCCAGGAGCCAGGAGCTGCTTCCGGGTCCCCCACATGGGTGCAGGGGCCCAAGCACTTGGGCCATCCTCCGCTGCTTTCCCAGGCCACAGCAGAGAGCCCGATGGGATGCCAGCATCGCTTAACCTACTATGCCGTAGCACCCGTCCCACATGGGTGTTTTTAAAAATACTTTATTTGAAAGGCAGAGTGACAGAGAGAGACATGTAGACATCTCCTCTCCCTGGTTCACTCCCCCAAGTGCCCATAACAGCCAGGCTAAAGCCAGGAGCGGGAACTCCATCCGGGTCTCCCACGTGGGCGGCAGGGGCCCGGTCCTTGGCCGGTCCTTGGCCGGTCCTCAGCTGCCTTCCCAGGTGTGCTGGCCGGGGTTGCATGGGAGACGCAGCAGCAAATAGGCATCTTACTGGCCGCTACTGTCCCAGGAGCTGGCTCAACCCGCTGGGCCCCCACATCCTGCTCACTGGTACTTAGAGAACACCTCGGTGCAGGGGGTCAGCGGTGGGGGAGGGCGGGAGCCATGAGCCTCAGCACAGGGCTGCGTAGGGCTCTAGTGAGCTACTTTGCCTCCGCGTACACACCTGTCCGTCAGGTGCAGTGCACAGCGCCCGTTCCCAAGCCCCCTGCCGCTGCCGGGGCACGTGCGCTCTGGAGCGGTCCCCGGCGGGTCCCCGGGCAGGCAGCCTGCTGGAATCAGGCGGTAGGGATTACTCCCAAGAAGCACAGGTGTCCGACTCGCGTCGGGCGAGGGCTGGGCAGCGCGGGCCTCCTAACACCCGCTGGTCTCTCTGCCTCCCTCCCCCCGCAGACGAGTACGTGTCTTCCTCGCGCGCCCTCGGCCTGCCCGCGTCCGCCGCCTCCGACGGCCACCGGGTCCCAGGCCATGGCTCCGCGGCAGCCTCCGCCGCCTCGGGCCAGCCGCCGCCACCACACCTGCCCACCAAGCTCGTGATCCGGCACGGCGGGGCGGGCGGCTCCCCGTCGGTGACCTGGGCGCGAGCCTCCTCCGCCTCCCTGTCCTCCTCGTCGTCCGCCGCCTCGTCCCTGGACGCCGACGAAGACGGTCCGATGCCTTCCCGCAACCGCCCGCCCATCAAGACCTACGAGGCGCGGAGCCGCATCGGCCTCAAGCTCAAGATCAAGCAGGAGGCCGGGCTCAGCAAGGTCGTGCACAACACGGCGCTGGACCCGGTGCACCAGCCCCCGCCGCCGCCCGCCGCCCCCCAGAGCGCCGAGCCCCCACCGCGGCCGCCCCCGCCGCCGCCGCCGCCGCCCCCGCCGCCGCCGCCACCCCCGCCGCCGCCGGCCCCGGGCCAGATGAACGGCACGGTTGACCACCCGCCGCCGGCCGCAGCCCGCAAGCCGCCAGGGCACGCAGCGCACGGGCCGCGCCTGCCACTGCGCAAGAGCTACCGGGAGCACGCGGCCGCCAGCCCCGCGCCGCCGCCCGCCAAGGTGGACGAGGCCACGAGCGGCCTTATCCGCGAGCTGGCGGCCGTGGAGGACGAGCTGTACCAGCGGCTGCTCAAGGGCGCTGCGCCCGGCGAGCCCGCGGCCGCCCACACCGGCGCGGCGCAGGGCGGGGACCCCGGCTGGGAGGCACCCGCGCCGCCGCCCACCAAGCGGCGCAAGTCGGAGTCTCCGGACGTCGACCAGGCCAGCTTCTCCAGCGACAGCCCGCAGGACGACGCGCTCACCGAGCACCTGCAGAGCGCCATCGACAGCATCCTGAACCTGCAGCAGGCGCCCGGCCGGCCGCCCGCGCCCGCGCCCGCCTCCTCGCCGCCGCCCCCGCACAGGCCCGAGGCCTACCCGCCCTCCAGCCACAACGGCGGCCTGGGCGCCAGGACGTTGAACAGATAACAGCGGGCCGCCCGGGACCCGCCCATCTCCCCCGCCTAAGTTATTGCCTTCGTGAAGGCCGCCAACCCCCGCCGCGGGGCGGAGCGCCGGCGTGGGGGGGCGGGCAGGGCACGGACTCGGGGGAGGGGGCCCCGGGGTACCCGCCCCCGCCCCGCCCAGCCACAGGCGGGCTCCCTCCGGAGTGCCAGTGCCTGCCTGTGCGCCCCCTGCCACATCCGTCGCCTTGCGGGGCGCGCGCAAGCCTTTGCCAGGGAGGGTCCTTCCAGACCACCCAGCCCCCACCGCCACCGCACAGGCTGCAGAAGGAATCCGCAGATGGGACGGGGGCTCCCCCGGGCGCGTGCGCTGCCTCCTTGTGCGCCCGCGCGTCCAGGCGAGAGCACGCCCGCGCACCCAGCCGCAGCTGCGGCTCCACCGCGATCCGAGCAAAACCGGGGTCCCCCCCCCATGCCCCCGCCACGCAGCCAGTCTTCCTCTGCCCTTCCTGCCTCCAGCCGCCCGCGCCACATTTTGAAATCTCGGAGACAAAACTAGTACTGTAAGATAAATTTTTTTGTACTGTATTTATTGTGTATAAGGATTTTTTTAAAGGAGAATTCTGTACATTTAGAACTCTTGTAAATTAAAAGCCGATCCTTTTTTTAAAACTGTACACACGCCCATTTGGCCTTGTTGCTTGGGGAGGTTAGGGGGCGGCCCGTGGTTGGGGAGCTGCCCAGGTGTGCTGGCTGCACCTGCTCGGGCGGCTTGACGAGGGTGGTGGGGAGCACAGGAACCCAGAATACCGACGGATCTGACTTACGGGAGGGGAGGTCTCTGTGGGCCCTGCCCCCTTCTTTTTCTTCCTTCCTTTTTAGATTGATTTATTTATTTGCAAGGCAGAGTTACAGAGAGGCAAAGGCAGAGAGAAAGAGAGGTCTTCCATCCAGTGGTGGCCAGAACAGCCGAATCTGGGCCAATCTGGAGCCAGGAGCTTCTTCTGGATCTCCCATGGGGGTACAGGAGCCCAAGGACTTGGGCCATCCTCCACTGCTTTCCCAGATGTGCAAGCAGGGAGCTGGATCAGAAGTGGAGCAGCCGGGACTCAAACCGGCGCCCATATGAGATGCTGGTGTCACAGCGCTGGCCCCTTTGCCCCTTTCACAGTAGCCAGGACCTCACCTGGGGAGCTGAAGTGCCTGTCTGCTTTGGGCTAAATGTCGTCAGCCAGGCAATATGGCCCCTTGTTGATTTATTTTGTAAGAATTACAGGAAGAGATTTTCCATCCGCTTTTCCATCTGCTGGTTCACTCCCCAAATGCCTTCAACAGCTGAGCCTGGGCCAGATGGAAGCCAGGAGCCAGGAGCTTCATCCGGGTCTCCCATGCAGGTGCAGGGGCCCAAGGAATTGGGCCATCCTCTACTGCTTTCCCAGGCACATTAGCAGGGAGCTGGATCAGAAGAGGAGCAGCGCTCATATAGGATGCCTGTGTCACAGGCAGTGACTTTTCCCACTGCACCACAACACCGGCCCCTAAACAAAATTCTTTGTTTCATATGCACATAACCCAAAGGTAGTTTTAGACAATATTTTTGGTGCACCTGCATCTTTCAAAAAAAAGGGCTTTTTAATTATTTGAAAGGCAGAGTCACAGAGAAAGATCTTCCATCTGCTGGTTCACTCCCCAAATGTCTCACCCGGGGCTGATCCAGGCTGAAACCAGGAGCCAGGAACTCCCAGGTGGGTGACAGGGGCCTGGGTGTCCCAGCTGCTTTAGCAGGGAGCTGGATGGGAAGTGGAGCAGCAGGGGCCTGGGCAACGCAGCAGCACTGCATGCAGGCGGCGCTTAGCTCGCTGTGTGCACCTGCGCTTTGATCCTTGCCTGCCCCGGGAGGCCAGGTTGGAGTTTTCCAGGGTGGTGTCCTGTGGGTGCTCAGGTAGTGAGACTGGGGGCATTTCAGGCTTTGGGTCAGGGCTTCCCAGCCTGCTCTGCAGGTCTGCACTGCAGGCACACGCTCTCTCTCGCTCTCGCTCTCTCACTCTTTCTGTCTCTCAGCTCAGTAAGGCACAGCAACGCCTTCTCGCTGTAGAAACTCCTCAGCCTCACACGGGGGGCCCAACCCTGAGCGCAGGACTGAAGGTAGATTGGGGGTGGCCAGCGCTGTGGTCAGCAGGTTGAGCCTCCGTCTGTGACGCCGGCCTCCCATTTGGGCACTGGTTCAAGTCCTGGCTGCTCCATTTGCTATCCAGCTCCCTGCTAATGCGCCTAGGAAAACAGCGGAAGATGATCCAAGTCCTTGGGCCCCTGCACCTGCGTGGGAGACCAGGATGAAGCTCCAGCCCAGCCAAATCTTTTTAAATTAAAAAACAAACAAACAAACAAAAACCTGAACACGGGAGTGCCACCCAGACCTGGAAGACTGAGCTGTTTCCCGAGCGAGTCCAGAATGAGGCAGAGAAACCGAGGGAGAGATCAGCTGGCACCTACAGTCACCGGGAACCCGCAGGGTGGGCACATCCCCAGGGCTGCGGGGGTGGGGGCGGGGGAGGCAGCTGCTGCTCCCCGGGGCCTCTGTATGGACTTAGGGGTGCTTTCTCCTGGCCCGGGGACTGGGGGAGCTGTGGAGAGTGAGCTGGATTCTGGCCCCCCTGCTTACCCCAGCGCGGCCTGAGAGGACCTCGGGCTCCGGGAGCGCTGGCGCCCCCTGGCGGCCGCGTGCGGAGCGGCGAGGGCCGGGCCGGACACTGGGTCCAGAGGCCACGGGCGACACATAGCCCCGCGGGAGACCGGCCCTTGGCGGCAGCCACGGTGACCGCCTGCAGCCGGGGCCGCGGACCAGCCATGGGGTGTCCTGCACGCTGAGCCCACCTGGGTGAGCTGCAGGGAGGCCCTCGCTGGGTGCTGAGAGCTGAGCGCGGCCGCAGGTGCGCACCCCCACCCCCACCCCTGAGCCAGGCGGTTGCATGGGCTCCTCTGGGACCCACGAGTGAGGACATCCGTCCACTTAGCTGCCAGCTGCCTTCTTGCTTTAGACCCTGTGGCACCGCGGGTAAAGCCATCGCCTGCGATGCGGGCGTCCCATAGGGGTGCTGGTTTGAGTCCCAGCTGCTCCACTTCCTATCCAGCTCCCCGCTAATGTGCCTGGGAAGGCAGTGGAAGATGATCCAAATCCTTGGGGCCCTGCACCCCTGTGGGAGACCCAGAAGAAGCTCTAGGCTCCTGGCTTTGGCTTACCTGGCCCCTGGGGAGTGAACCAGCAGGTGGAAGATCTTTGCCTTTGAAAAAAAATTCAATAACATTTCGAGCAATGCTGTAACAAATACCTTGAATGGACTGGTTGGCGGTGACAGATGCCCAGCAGGAAATCCACGCAGAGACAGCAGCGTCAGGGCTGGGGAAGACTGAGGAGAGGCCATTTGAGCAAAGACCCGAAGGAGTCGTGGTCCCGACAAAGGCCCATTTTACAGACGGCAAAACTGAGCTGCTTCCCTGTGCCTGTGTGCTGCGAACCCCAGCAGTGCCGGCCCCCGGGGAGGAAAAGCCAGCTCCAGGCCCAGATGATGAGACAGGATGCTTCTCGTGCACCCAGTGCAGGCAGGCATGGCGCATGACCTCTGGGCTCGGCTGTCTCACCTGTCAAATGGGTGCAATGTCGCTGAAGGGTTCTGAGGATTCAGTGAGACCCCCCCAGGCCTGAAGAGCACAGGACAGACCCCTGCACAAACACCGGCTGGGCCCCAGGCAGACCCCGCACCGTGCCCAGTGCGGAGGCCACCACGGGTTGGGGGAAGTCTCCGCGCAGGTGAGGCAGAGCAGGCAGACGGGGCAATCTGGGAGGGCTTCTCCAAGGAGGTGACGTTTGTGCGGAGGCCTGAGGGAGGGGCGGGAGGGAGCCAGGCCGCTCCCTGCGGGGTCAGCGCTCCAGGCAAAAGGACAGTGCAAGCAAAAGTCCTGAGGCCCGGGCTTGCTGGTGATTGAGGAGCGGTGAGGAGGCGGCTGCAGCCGCCTGTCGTTACTGTTATCTTCTCTGCGGCCGTTGCTGTTATTTCCACGTCGAAAAGAGGCGCGGAGGAGGTTGGGGCGGCCCAATCCCAAACCCGGACTCTGAGCCGCCTCGCCGTCCGCCAGGGGGCGCCAGAGGCCGGGCCGGGCCGGGCCGGGGGTGGGGGGGCTCCAGTCCCGCCCGCCCCGCCCCCCGCGCCTCCCTGCCCCGCGCCCTCCTCCCCGCGCCGAGCCCCACCCGGCTCAGACGGCTCCGGACGGGACCGCGAGCACAGGCCGCTCCGCGGGCGCCTCACCTTCCCCGCGGGACCCCCGCCCAGCCCGGCCCGGCCGCCAGCGCGCCCCGTCGGTGAGTGCGCCCCCCGGGCCGCAGCTCTGGCTCCCGCTGGCGCCCCCGAAGGCCCCGTGCTGCCCGCCAGCAGCCTGCAGCGGCCGCCCCCGGCCCCGCGGCCTCGCCCCCCGGCGCCTCCGCAGCCGCCCACGGACATCCCACGCGGAGGTCCGCGGACCCTGGCCGCCGGGGACCCCACCCAGGTCCCTGGCCTCGGCCCAGGCTCCTGCCCGCGGCTCCTCTGCGCCTTGCCCCGGTGCCACGATGCTGGGGACTTGGAGGCCTTTGATTTGCGCCACAGTGACTGCACGCTGCCTCCTCTTTGGTGGGGGTGCCCGCCGGGTCCGTGTCCCCCCGGGGGAGGGGGACTCCTGTCCAGCTCTCAGCCCCTCCCCCTCTGGTGCAGGCTGGCTCCTCTCTGCTCGGGCCCCGGGAGCAGCCCGCTTCTCCAAGGAACGGTGTTCCGAGACTGGGAGGTTCTTGGGGCAGCCGGGTGAATTCCCAGCCCGGGGTTTAGAGATGGAGGCGCGCGGGCGCAGGCGCGGGGTCCCGGGGCGGCGGCGGGGTGCGGGGGACAGCACTACAGGCCCTACCGTGCAACAGCGAGGGCAGGCGGAGGACGCGGCCTGGGAGCTGAGCTCGGTGCTGGCATTTTTTCAGGCACCCCTAACTTCTGAGCGAGCGCTCTGGGCATTTGGCAGCTGGCCTGTGGCTCATTTCTGGGTCCACAGCCCCCAGAGAGTGACTTCCAGGGGAAATGTGTCCAGTGATGGACAGAAGAGTCAAGATACCCAAGGTTCCCGCAGGCATCCAAGCCCCTTGTCCACCCAATCCCCGTATCTATTTATCTTTAATCTATTGCATTGATTTGAGAGGCAGAGACACACAGATCCGTCCTCTGGTTCACTCCCCACATGGCTGCACGGGCCAGGGCTGGGCCAGGCTGCTTCCTCCTCCAGGCAGTCCGCCATCAACACCCTCTCCTCTTGCAGGCACCGGTTGCCCCTGCGCCTCTCTCTCTCTCTCTCTCTCTCTCTCTCCCTCCGTGAGCCCAGTGGTCAGCGCCCAGCCGCCATGTTCAGCTGGCTGAAGCGGGGCGGGGCGCGCGGCCAGCAGCGCGAGGCCATCCGCACGGTGACGTCCTCGCTCAAGGAGCTGTACCGCACCAAGCTGCTGCCACTGGAGGAGCATTACCGCTTCGACGCCTTCCACTCGCCGGCCCTGGAGGACGCCGACTTCGACGGCAAGCCCATGGTGCTGGTGGCCGGCCAGTACAGCACGGGCAAGACCAGTTTCATCCAGTACCTGCTGGAGCAGGAGGTGCCCGGCTCGCGCGTGGGACCCGAACCCACCACCGACTGCTTCGTGGCCGTCATGCACGGCGAAGCCGAGGGCACCGTGCCCGGGAACGCCCTCGTCGTAGACCCTGACAAGCCCTTCCGGAAGCTCAACCCTTTCGGGAACACCTTTCTTAACAGGTGCGGGGCGCGCACTGTTTCTGTGCCCGGCTGCTGCTGCCCGCGCCTCCTCCCTGGCTTAGGGGTGGGGCCTGGGTTCAAATCCTGCCTCCCTTGGGCAAAGGCCTCCACCTCTCCGTGCCTCTCTTGGGTGCATCTGTGCAATGGGCACAGCCGTAGTCTCCGCCCCTCCAGAGCTAACGGTGCGCGGGAGGGCGCTGGCCCCGCCTCCCTCCCCGGCTCAGGCTCCACCCCCCTGCCCTCTGCCGCCAGGTTCATGTGTGCCCAGCTTCCCAATCAGGTCTTGGAGAGCATCAGCATCATTGACACCCCCGGCATCCTGTCGGGCGCCAAGCAGCGAGTGAGCCGGGGTGAGTGAGGCCGGCGGGGCGGGGGCCCGCCGTGGGCGTGGGCCTGGGCGCCTTGTGGGGTGCAGAGGAGAGCCAGGCAGATGGCGGGGGTCTTGGAACACCCAGAGAGAGGGCCTAGTGCAGGCAGGGAGGCCCTGGGGCCCGGGAGCTCCCTGCTGGGCGGAGTGTGCCGCAGATGGGGCTGCGCGGGGGCTGGGAGGGGGACCTGGGCGGGGGCCAAGGCCGGGCCTGGAATTTATAAACAGCTGTGCAGGGGAGGGCTGGATTCCAGCGGGGCCCGCGGCAGCCGCCCCGCCCGCCCCTGCCCGCCCCCGGACCCCCCCCAGCACCCCTCCTCCCCTCCCCCTGCGTGCCGGGAACTGGGGCAAAGGAGGCGGCCGTGTGGGGCAGAGGGGAGCGCAGCCCTGGCGGCCATCCAGCGGGCCGGCGGGCGGGCGGGCGGGCGGGCGGGTGGGAAGAAGGCGGCGGCAGCTGCCCAAGCGATCGGGGCGAGGAGCGGCTCCTGGGGGGGGCTGGGCCGGGGATAGCCGCGCCCGGGTCCCAGAGACTGGGGTCTGTATCCTTGGCCTTGACACAGAGAGAGGAGGGCCTGTTGGCGCTGCAGAATGTGTGTGTGTGTCTGCACCCATGCACAGACTTTGGTTCATTTTCTGTACCAAGATAAACTTATTGTTTAATTCCATCTGTTTTAATGATTTATTTATTTGAAAGAATTAGAGAGAGAGAGAGAGAGAGAGAGGGAGGGATCTGCCATCTGCTGGCTCACTCCCCAAATTGTCACAATGTCCAGGGCTGGGCCAGGCTGAAGCCAGGAGCCAGGAGCTCCATCCAGGTCTCCCACAGGGGTGCAGGGCCCCCAAGCACTTGGGTCATCTTCCGCTGCTTTTCCCAGGACATTAGCAGGGAACCGGGTGGGAAGTGGAGCAGCCAGGACTCGAACCGGCGCCCCTATGGGACGGTTCTCTTACCCGCGAGGCCACAGCGCCGGCCCCTTCAGTCCATCTGCCAGCAAGTTTCTGGAGCGGCCTCGCATGTGTCGGTGGATGTGTGTGTGTGTGGCCGTGTGTGTGCGCGCGTGCACGTGCACACGCGACTCCCGGATGGGGAGTGAGGGTTGTGTCTCAAGCTGCGCCTGGTACAGGAGACCGTGGCTGAGTTTATCCCTGCGTGTGCCGCTGGCTGTGCGTGGTGGGGCTCCCGCCTGGGCTCTGGGCCAAGCCGCTCCCACACGCCGCGCCCACTTTTCTCATCTGTAAAGTGGGCACAGCCGCGCCGCCCCCTGGGAAGCAAAGTGGCTCAGCCGGCGCCCCGGGACAGCGGCGGTGCTGGGTGCTGGCCGTGGCTGTCGTCCTCGGGCGAGTGCCGCGGGGCGCCTTGTCCTCTGTGCCACGTCGCCCGTTCCCACGCTGACTCAACCCCCCTCCCTCCCCGCCCCAGGAGAGTCTATCTGAACCGCAGCCAGTGCGTGTTTGTGCAGACGTTGGGGGGAGGGAGGGGGCCCAGCTGCCGTCCCTCCGTGACCTGGCCCTTTCCTCTCCCCAAACAATGCCCCCACCCCACCCTCCGAGCCCAGTGTCCCTGGAGCAGAGCTCCCCAGGAGGCTGTACGGCCCTGGGGCTCCTGCTCTGGGGGGAGATCCAGTGAGCTCCTTCTGTCCGGGAGCAGGAGAGGGCAGGTGGCTCAGTGACGGCTCTCCATACTGCCAACTCTTCGTTCCCTCCTCCAGGAAGCCCTCCCTGACCGCCCCCTCCCTCCACTGCCCCGGGCTCCCACGGGCTCCTTGATTCCCTGTGCCAGCCTCACCGCTCTAGGGGTGGGTCTGTGTCCCCAGCAGGCTGAGAGCCTGGGAGGACAGGGCTGGGCTCCCTTTGCCTCCTCCACAGAGCCAGCAGCTGGAGAGAAGGTTCTGGAACCATTCCCCACGCCTGGTTCACTGCCCTTCGGCCACGGTGAGGCAGAGGGTCCAGGGCTGGGCGTGGTTTTCGGTTCGCCTATGCCCCTGCTCCTTTGTACAATTTCACTCTCCCTGACGTCCAGAGAGGTCAACACCTGCCCAAGGTCACACAGCTGGAGGGGGGCAGACCAGGGTTTCACACCCAGGTCTCCTGGCCACGCCCCCTACCCACGCCAGCCTGGCATCCTGATGAAAGGATGTGTGATCAAGCCAGGGCGACGGTGGCTGAATGAATGAATGAATGAGGAATGAGTGAATGAGGAAGGGATGAGGGAGCCCCGGCCAGGCGCCTTGGCTCTGAGTCCCCTGTGGTCTCCCCAGGGCCCGGACAGGGGGACGGGGCCTCCAGTGTGAGCTTCTCAGTGTCTCTCTCTCTTTTTTTAAATAAGATATTTATGTGAAAAAGTTACAGAGGGGGAGAGATTTTCCATCCACTGATTCACTCCCCAGATGGCTGCAATGGCCCGAGCTGGGCCAGGCAGAAGCCAGGAGCAGACGCTCCATCCGGGTCTCCCACGTGGGTGCGGGGGCCCAGCCACTGGGGCCGTCCTCTGCTGCTTTTTCCCAGGCGTGTTAGCAGGGAGCTGGAGCAGAAGCGGAGCAGCCGGGACTCGAACCGGTGCCCCTAGGGGATGCTGGCATCGCAGGTGGCGGCCTGACCCGCTGTGCCACGCCAGCCCCTCAGTGTCTATTGTCGAATAGATTACACATATTGACATCTGTGAGGGCGAGGGCACGGCTATGGCCTTGGCGAGCGCCACTCGCTGGCCATGGCGGGGTCCGACAGGCCCCGGGGAGTGGCGGGGGGGGGGGGACAGAGGCCAGGGGCCCCGCAGTAGCATGGGGCTCTCTTAGCAAACACTTCCGGGTGTCCTGCATCCAGACCAGGGCCCACACTAAGCTTCTGATGAGCGGATGAGAAAGCGACCAGGAAATTCTGGGGGCTGGCAAGCCAGAGCTGTGGGCTATGCCCCGGGGAGGGTGGGGGCTCCCAGACAGGGATCTGTACCGTTGAGAACCCGGGCAACCGTACAGCCCGCGCTCCGGGTCTACCAAGGAAGGCACGCGCCCCACTGCCTGCCGGTCTGACCCGTGCCCCTGCCCTCCGCCGCCCCAGGCTACGACTTCCCGGCCGTCCTGCGCTGGTTCGCCGAGCGCGTGGACCTCATCATCCTGCTTTTCGACGCCCACAAGCTGGAGATCTCGGACGAGTTCTCGGAGGCCATTGGCGCCCTGCGCGGCCACGAGGACAAGATCCGCGTGGTGCTCAACAAGGCCGACATGGTGGAGACGCAGCAGCTGATGCGCGTGTACGGCGCGCTCATGTGGGCGCTGGGCAAGGTGGTGGGCACGCCCGAGGTGCTGCGCGTCTACATCGGCTCCTTCTGGGCGCAGCCGCTGCTCGTGCCCGACAACCGGCGCCTCTTCGAGCTGGAGGAGCAGGACCTGTTCCGCGACATCCAGGGCCTGCCGCGCCACGCCGCGCTGCGCAAGCTCAACGACCTGGTGAAGCGGGCACGGCTGGTGCGGGTGAGCGCGGGGCCCCTGCGGTTGGCGCGCGCGCGGGGGGGGGGGGAGCGTGCGCGCGCCTGGGCGGGTGCAGGACCGTGCACCTCCCAGGGCCCCTCCCGCCCCATCCCTGCTGGTCTCACCAGGGTGCCCCCCTCCCCAGGCATCTCCTCCACCTTTTGCTTCTTTCCCATCATTCACTGCACTTCCCGCCGGCCACCTCCATCCTACCCCAGGGCCTTTGCACCTCCCGGAAACCTGCTCGGCTTCCTCACCTCCTGCAAGTCTCTCCCCACGCACGCACGGTCCTCACCTCTCTAGCCCCTCCTCCCCACCCGGCGGGTCCTGCCTGCTCCCCGCCCCTGCCCGTCTTTCTCCCCGGCCTCATCCTATTCTCAAGACAACCGGGCTTCTTTCTGCTGAGGCTTCTGCCTCCCGGACTCGGGCCACTTGGAATTCCTCACGGATGTGGTCCCCGCGCCTGGAGAGCAATCGGCTCTCAGTAAATATTTGGGGAACGAATGCCATGGAACAAACCCCCCCAACCTAACAAAATCCCCTCTGTGCCTGGCCGCCCGCTGGGCGGTGCCGGGACATAGCATTGACCAAAGCGGGCCTGGCGCTCTCCTGCTGGGCTCCTGGTCCCAGGGCCCAGTCCCTGCCCTGGGGAGGTGGAGACCCCCGTCCCCATGCATGGTCAGGGCTGGGGCTGGGTAGTCCAGGGGGAGTCAGGGAGGGCTTCCTGGGGGAGAGAGTATCTGAGGTTGCCCGTCGGTGTGGAACCAGCATAGACAGTGCAAGTAATGTCGGGGAGGTGGGTGGGGGCTGGGACGCCCAGGGTCTTGTGGGCAGCGCTGTCCCCAGGGCACTGGGGAGTGAGGTTAAGGCAGGGCTAGAGTCCAGCTGCCTGCCTGGAGGCGGTGCCCAGGAGAGTGGGACTGGGGGCTAGAGAGCAGGCAGCGAGGGGGCGCGGAGGAGGCGTCCAGGGTGGAGGTGGGCCAGGAAGCGGGCAGGCGGGGAGGCCAGGAAGGCTCCAGGGCTGGAGGAGCCCCAGGTGCTGGCTTCGGGAGCAGCCAAGAGGGGGTGAGTCAGAGCCCCACCCCACCCCCACCCCAGGAATCCTCCTCGGGAGCGGCCGAATCCACCTTGCCCTGCCGGGCCTTCCCCGCCGCCCCCCGCCCCGGGCGCGCCTTCGCCCCCGCTAGGGGAAGCAGAGGCGGGAGCCAGGGCTCAGAGCCGACCCGGACACCTGGTGCCCCGCAGCCCGGGCGGGAGGCGGCTCCGGAAAGGCGGACAAACCCCGGAGTCCCGGCCCCGCGGCTCCGCCCGCCCGCCTACTTATCTCTTCCTGGCACCTTCCCCTGCTTCCTCTCTGGAAAAGCCATCAGCGCCCAGGCCTCGCCTGCTCTTCGGGGGTCCCCAGCTGGTCACGCCCCCCTCGCCCCCATTGGTCCGCCTCTCAGGCCCCGCCCGCCAACAGGACCCCACCCCTGCCGCGGTTGGCCCGTCAAATCCATAGGCCACGCCCTCCCCCTCCTGCACGTTCCTGGGGCTTCCCCAGGGGCCACTTGGGACACACTCCTCAAGCGAGGTCCGCCCTGGCCGGCTCTCCCGACACGCCCCACGCCCACCCTCACGTGGGATTCTGCCACGTTGGGTCCAGTCACTCTGCCCGCGTCCCCTCGTGCGCCCACCCCCAGAGGCAAGGCCTCTCTGGACTCTAGGACACCCCCCCCCGCGCCGCTCCTGCCTCAGTTTCCCCGCCTGTGCCGCATCCGGTGAGGCTGGGACTCCTCCCTCCCCCGGCCCTGCCCCTCTGTTGAAGTGGCCGCTGCTGGAAGGGGCGGTTCTCTGGGGGAAGCCGGCCTAAGGCCAGGACAGTGGGGACCGGGGACCGGGAAGTGGGGGCCATGCAGGCCGCTGGCCTGGGCCTGCAGGTGGGGCCAGGCTGAGGGTGCACAGCTTTGCCGGCGCGGCCCAAATCCCACTTGGGGGTCAGCAGCGGGGAGGCCAGGCTTGGGGAGGCCTCTCCGCCTGCACCCACCTGGAGTTCGCTCCCAGTGCACCGCAGGGCCAAGGGACCCAGCCCCGGGCTCAGGCGCCGCCTTGCTCGCGCAGGTGCACGCCTACATCATCAGCTACCTGAAGAAGGAGATGCCGTCGGTATTTGGGAAGGAGAACAAGAAGAAGCAGCTCATCATGAAGCTGCCGGTGATTTTCGCCAAGATCCAGCTGGAGCACCACATCTCCCCCGGCGACTTCCCCGACTGCCAGAAGATGCAGGTGGGGGCGCCCGGCGGGCGGGCCAGGAAAGCACCTTCCTCACCCGGCGTCCTGCATTAGCGTAAGGAAGCAGAGCTAGCTCAGGGCCACAGAGGGCTAATGAGGATAGCAGCTCCTTTGGGTTCCCCTGGGTGGATTGGATGCTTTCTAGAGAGCGTCAGGGGCCTGGCCTCCACGCCTGAGATGCCTCGTGGCACAAAATGGCCATGGAAGCTCTGGCCAGTGTCTGCATTCCAGTCGACCAGAATGGAGGGAGGGTAGGAGGAGGGTACAAGAGCCTCTCTCTTAAAGAATTATTTTATTTGAAAGGCAGAAACGCACACAGAGAGACGGAGGCAGAGACTTTCCATATGCTGTTTCACTCCCCACATGGCTGCAACAGCCAGGCTGGACTAGGGCCGACACCAGGAGCCCAGAATTCATCGGGGTCTCCCATATTGGCAACTAGGACCCCACCGAGTTATCTGAGCCGACACCTGCTGCACGTCGGGAGTGCACGTGGGCAGGAAGCTGGTCTCAGACGCGGAGCTGGGTCTTGGACCCGGGCACCTGCTACAGGACGTAGGTGCCCCAGGCGGTACCTTAGCTGATGCACCCAACGCCTAGAGTTACACCTTGCAGAGCAGTGCTGTCCATCCACCGCCTAAGGACATGGAAATGTTCCGATACGGTAGCCACAGGCCACGCTAAAACTTACATTTTATTTCCATTTTAACTAATTTCATAAACACAGGGAACTAGTGGCTACCACATTGAACAGGATGATTCCAGAAATAGCGAGTGCACCAGTGTGCCAGCATCCAATTGGCTGGGCTTAGTCATGTGGCCATGGGTGTGTGCCCACCTGATTGACTGCATTTGGTCACATGGCTGTGGAGGTATAAAGGAAGCTGGGAAGTGTAGTCTTCCTTCTGGGTGGCCAGGCCCCCTGATAATCAGGGAATCCAGTATTGAGAGAGGGACAAGTGGATAGTGGGGGACCACAGGGAGGCTCCTGGTATGTTTAGGACTAGAATTTTCAGTGCTGTATCTGGGTGGGGTGGCTTGGGGCAGAAGTGACCAAATGAATGTGGGGACGGGGACCGGCCCCTGGGCTGACCTCTGCTCTGGGGCCCGGGACTCCCGGGGCTGGTGGTGGTGGAGCCCATGTCGCCTTGGCCACTTCCTGGCTCTGTGAACGTGGGCAAGCCAGACCCTTCTCAAGCCTGTTTTCTCGGCTGGAAAATGGGCATCGTGCACCCGCCGTCATGGGTGCTGAGTCACCCCCCACGCCCCAGAACCTCACCGGGCGCCGGGCTCTCTCCCGGGGGCCAGATCATGCTGGGGTGTGGGACTGTGCCGGGCTCCGTGGAGGCCAGGCAGCAGCCCTGGACTGTAGCCCCTGGGCTCCCTGGCCCTGGAACCTTCCCCGCCCCAGCCTGCCCGGGCCAGCCCTGTCCCATCTTGCTCTGGAATTTACCGCGATGCCGAGAGAGAAATGTCCCAGTGTTTGCACAGCCTCTCCCTGAGCAGGAGACTTACCCGTTGCCTGGGTGGGGGGCCGGGTCTAGAGCCAGCGGGTGTGGTTTCTGGTGGTGCTGGACCCACCCCAGCCCTGGTGGAGTCCTGCCCTCTAAGCTGACCACCAGAGGGTGGCACCGGGCTGTTCGCCGCTGGGATGCTGGGACGCGTCGGCCCCTGAGCCTGACCCTGCAGCCCTGACTCCTTCAAGTCTCCCCCCAACCCCCCCCCCCCCCCGCAGGAGCTGCTGATGGTGCACGACTTCACCAAGTTCCACTCGCTGAAGCCGAAGCTGCTGGAGGCGCTGGACGAGATGCTGACCCACGACATCGCCAAGCTCATGCCGCTGCTGCGCCAGGAGGAGCTGGAGAGCACCGACGTGGGCGTGCAGGGCGGCGCCTTCGAGGGCACCCACATGGGCCCGTTCGTGGAGCGCGGCCCCGACGAGGCCCTGGACGACGGGCAGGAGGGCTCGGACGACGAGGCCGAGTGGGTGGTGACCAAGGACAAGTCCAAGTACGACGAGATCTTCTACAACCTGGCGCCGGCCGACGGCAAGCTGAGCGGCTCCAAGGCCAAGAGCTGGATGGTGGGCACCAAGCTCCCCAACTCGGTGCTGGGGCGCATCTGGAAGCTGAGCGACGTGGACCGCGACGGCATGCTGGACGACGAGGAGTTCGCCCTGGCCAGCCACCTCATCGAGGCCAAGCTCGAGGGCCACGGGCTGCCGGCCAACCTGCCGCGCCGCCTCGTGCCCCCGTCCAAGCGGCGCCACAAGGGCTCGGCCGAGTGAGCGCCGCCGCCGCCGGACACCGCGCGGGGCCCCCACGCAGGCACAACTCACGGACGCTCACCCGCAGGCTCCCGGCCGCACCGCGGCCACTCACGTATTTATTATGGCCCACTCGCCTGCGCTCCGCACGCAGACGCACCTGTTCCGAGCAGGCCCCGCCCCGCCCTCCTCCGGCCACGCCCACCGCTCATGCCCCGCCCTTATCCGGCCAAGCCCACCACAATGCCCCGCCTTCCTCCGGCCACGCCCCTGCTCGTGCCCCGCCCCTCTCATCGCCCCGCCCACCACGGCACAGCAGAGACCGCCTACGCCATCCAGCCCCGCGCTGGGGGAACACCCCAAGTTCGAATCCCGTGGCAGGCAGGGGAAGCCCTGTCCTCCCTCAGTCGTCCAAGGTCAAGGGCAGCCCCCAAAAGACGGGAGGGCCCCTGGGGGGTTTCCCTCAGCCCCCAGCTCCGGGGCCGCCGTGGGGTTGGGGGCGGGGGTCCTTGGTGCTACAGCCTCCATCCTCGCTCAGGGGACTCCCGGCCCCGCGCGCGCCTTCCCCACTGACGGTGGCGGGGACCCCAGGAAGACGCCAACAGGAGGAGACGACGCCCACGCCCACCACCGACCCCAGCCCTGCCCGGGACGGGGGAGGGGCCGGTGCTCGGAACCGCAACACCCCCACCCCACCCCCGCAGCCAATAAAGCCAAGCTTGCCCCCCGGAGTCGCGCTCGGGCTGTCTTCGGGGTCGGGGACGCCCCCGCCCCCGGGAGGGGTGCGGGGCGGGTGGAGCCCGCGGCGCGGCGCGGCCCTGGTGACTCAGGCCCGGGCCCGGGGCCAGGCCGGCACATATTTTCCGAGGAAAAGTGACTCGGCGGCCCTCCCCGCGGGACGCCCCTCCCGCCGCGGGGGCCTGGGAACCGAGCCCCGGGACGTGCGGCTGCGCGTGCGAGCCCGGGCCCGCCCGCCGGTCCCGCGGCGCCCCCTGGCGGGCACTCGGGGAGCCGCGGTCCCCCAGGTGCGGTGGCCGCCGGTGCTCTCGGGCCCGCAGCAGCCGGGCCAGGCGCCCAGGGCTCCTGCCTCCCAGTGTGTGAACGGCGAGTGCGCGCGGACTCTCAGAGGCGGGAACACCAGGGTCACCCCCGCGCCACACCGACGGGGAGACTGAGGCGCAGCCCAGCCAGCTTGCGCGACGCCGAGGTTCCGCCCCCGGCGCCGCGAGTGGAACCTGCAACGGCCACAGTGCTCTTCTCAGGTGCGAACTTGTGGCGAATCTGCCACGGAGGGTTCTCATCTTTCCTTTTTAAGCAAATGAGCGTAAAAAATAAATAAATAAGCAGAAACTCGAGTAAAGACCTCGGGAGGCCGCGAGAGACTGTTCTGCCTAGGGCGAAAACCAAAAACCCTACAACGCACCGCCGCTAGGAATCTGCAGATCCCGTTACACAGACTACGGGAAGCGAAGCCGGTTACCCTGTACCAAGATGGCTGCCGCCGGAAGTGCGTCACCGGAGAGGTGGGCGCTCTGCGCGGGCACGCCCCGGACCGGATTTCCGGACATCTTCCTTTGACAAGATGGCGGCGCGGAGTAGAGGTGGTGGTGGCGGGAAGTCTTCGAAAACCGATGGCGATTCTGGCTTTCTGGGGCTGCGGCCCACTTCGGTGGACCCGGCGCTGAGGCGGCGGCGGCGAGGCCCGAGAAATAAGAAGCGGGGCTGGCGGCGATTGGCGCAGGAGCCGCTGGGGCTGGAGGTGGACCAGTTTCTGGAGGACGTGCGGCTGCAGGAGCGCACGAGCGGGTACGCGGGGCTGGACTTCCGGGGCCCGGGCCGGGCTCTGTGCGGCCAGGTGCAGAGCCAAGCTGGCTCGTGGGGGGGGGCAGTGCTGCCAGGTGCACCTGCCGCGACGGCGGCCGAGGGGATGGGCCGGGTCGCGGGGTGCGGGGGTGGGGCCGCAGGGGATGCTTAGCTGGACCTGGATTTCAAGCGAACGAGGAGTGATCTGGGGGGTGTGCGCGCCTGCTGCGTCCGCTGTAGCTCGGAGCGCGTTCAAGGTGGAGTTCTGAGCACGCGGGCGGGGGCCGGCCCTGGAGAAGCTGCTGGAGTTGAGAACGAGAGGAGAGCGGGACCCCCGGGCCGCCCCCGCGTCCGGGGCTGACTGTGCGTTTCCGTCTCCCAGGGGTTTGTTGTCCGAGGCCCCGGATGACCGTCTCTTCTTCGTGGACACGGGCTTCAAGGAAAAGGGTGAGCCGGGGACCCCAGGAAGACGCCTTCGCTGGGCCAGGCTGAAGCCAGGAGCCAGGAGCTTCCTCCGGGTCTCCCACGCGGGTGCAGGGGCCCAAGCACTGGGGCCATCGTCTACTGCCTTCCCAGGCCACAGTAGAGAGCTGGACCGGAAGTGGAGCAGCCGAAGGCGGCTGTACCTGCTGCCCCAAGGGTTGGCTCTAACACGAGACCTCTGAGTGGGCAGAAAGGGCGCCAGGGCCCACCTGGGGAGGGCGGGGGTGTTGGCGTTTGAGATCCGAGGGCTTGGTGGGGGCGCTGGCTTGGGCAAGCGAGGGGAGTGAGTGTCTGGGAGCGGCGAGAAGCCAGCGCCAGCCTGCGTGCTCACAGTGGCTCTCGGGCTGGGGGCCGCTGCAGTGACACCGCATCCATGCCTGGGGGCCGACGGCGACTGCGGGCTGTGGGGTGGGCCGGGGAGCAGCAGGTCTGGTGGCTCCCGTGGTGCCCCGTGGGTGGGTTGGAGGCCTGAGGCCCTGTCTCCGCTCTCCCTCTGTGGCCAGCACTGAAGAGGAAGCCGAGCAGGCTCCAGAGGAAGTCACTGCTGCTCAAGAAGCCCCTCCGGGTCGACCTCGTCCTTGAGAACACGTCCAAGGTCCCCGCCCCCAAAGAGTGAGCCCCCTGCCCCTGGCTGGACCCTTTGTTGCTGCGAATCCTGAGCTTAGAGGCTTGGCCGGGTAGGGTGGGGGAGCCAGGGTCCTGTGCTGGGGAGACCCCAGGGCAGGGGAGGAGGCCTGTGGCTTCACCTGCCACACTGTGCCGCCTGTCCCCGCCCAGTGTCCTCGCCCACCAGGTGCCCAACGCCAAGAAGCTCAGGCGGAAGGAGCAGCTGTGGGAGAAGCTGGCGGCGCAGGGGGAGTTGCCACGGGAGGTGCGCAAGGCGCAGGCCCGCGCCCTCCGCCCGCCCGCGGCCAAGGCCCAGCCGGGGCCTCAGGACACCGCGGAGCGGCCTTTCTACGACCTCTGGGCCGCCGACAGTGAGTGGCCGCCTGGGGCAGGGTGCACCCCCCATCCAGCGGCTCCCGTTCCTGCATGGGTGGTGGGGTGCCTTCCCTCACTGCGCCCGGGTTCCCAGTCCCCTGGGGTGGGAAAGCCCACGCTGGAGGCCCCACAGCACCCGCTGTCCTCACAGACCCCCTGGACAGGCCCCTGGTTGGCCAGGACCCGTTTTTCCTGGAGCAGACCAAGAAGAAAGGCGTGAAGGTGAGCGTGGGGGCAGCGTCTCTGGTGTGCCCTGTCCGCGGGGCGGGGTGGCCCGGAGCCGGGGCCCAGCACCACGCGTGTCCACTGCTGTGGGCGGGCAGGGGCCCTGAGGGGCATGTGAGCGGCCGTTGTCTCAGAGGGAGTGCCTCCTGGGGACCTCGGGCTCTCTGGGTCTGTTCTGTCTTCCCCGTGTTGAGTGCCTGCTCTGCCCCTGCTGGCCGGGGTGGGGCCGGGGTCTCGCCCTTGCCCGGGCTGCGGTCTGTGCCTCGAGGAAGGGGGACTAGGCCCATGGCCGCTGAGTGGGCCGCGCTGTGGGAAGGAACCGGAGTGAGGGCTGGGCAGGGGCGCAGGCGGGTGGCGGGGTTCCTTCTGAGTGGGCTTGTGGGGGGCACCGGACTGCTTTGTGAGAGAGGAGTGTGGAGAGCGGAGGCTCCTGTGGCGGCCGGGGGTGGGGCCCACAGACGAGAGGGTGGGGTCTGGGGTGGGTGTGGCCAGGGCCCTTGTTGGGGTGGGGGGAAGACCCTTGGAGTGGGCCCTGCTGTGATGGAAGGGGGACTGGCTCAGGCTTTGTGTGCGGGTCTCCCCCGGCTGGAGCCCCAGGTCAAGGCCAAGGCCAGCAGGGTCTGTGTGGGCAGGGCTGAGGCTCTGCTCCCAGGACAGTGTCCTGCATGCCCGGTCCCCCGCTGGGCAGGAGGGCAGCACCCCCATGACGAGGGGGACGCACCCTGGCGGCGGGGCAAGGCTGACTGCCGGTGTTGTCCCGCAGCGGCCGCCACGCCTCCACGTGAGGCCCTCCCAGGTACCTGCTGTGGAGGTGACGCCTGCGGGAGCCTCGTACAACCCCACCTTCGAGGACCACCAGGTACCGTGCTCCCGGCCCTCCTCGGCCGGCTCCGCCTGGGCTTGGTCCCTGCTGGGTGCTCCCTCCTCCAGCCCGGGGCTGCGGGTTGTCCCTGGCGTCTGCAAGGGGCGGGCCGTGGGGAGGGTGCGGTTCGGGGCCCCCTGACGTCCCTGTCCCCTGGGTCTGTGTCCTGGGCGCCTCGGCGCTGGGCCTGCTCTGCAGAGCCAGGGCGGGCGGGCGGGCGGGGACAGAGCAGGCCCCCTCTGTCCTGCCCAGAGCCTGCTCCTGGCTGCCCACGAGGTGGAGCTGCAGCGGCAGCGGGAGGCGGAGAAGCTGGAGCGGCAGCTGGCCCTGCCCAGCGCGGAGCAGGCCGCCACGCAGGTGAGCCCGCTGCCCAGGCGCGCCCCCGCCACCCGCGGCCTCCCCCTCCGTAGGCCGCCCTGACACCGCCCTCGCCCTCCCCGCAGGAGTCTGTGTTCCGGGAGATGTGCGAGGGGCTGCTGGAGGAGTCGGACGAGGAGGGGGAGCCGGGCCAGGGCGAGGGGCCTGAGGCGGGGGCCGCCGAGGCCTCGCCCACCCCTGCCCGCCCGGCCGGTGCCGAGAAGAAGACGGAGCAGCAGCGGCGGCGGGAGAAGGCGGCCCGCACGCAGGTGAGCGCGGGCCCCGGACACCGCCCTCCCTGGACACCTGGGGCCCTCCTGCTGCTGGGGGGGGCAGGGCGGGAGGCCCGGGCGGGCGGGGGCGGGCTGCGCTCACTGAGGCCGCCCTGCCCGCCCCAGCGAGTGCAGCAGGCTGCGCTGCGGGCCGCCCGGCTGCGGCACCAGGAGCTCTTCCGGCTGCGTGGGATCAAGGCGCAGGTGGCGCGGCGGCTGGCGGAGCTGGCGAGGCGGCGTGAGCTGCGGAGGGCGCGGCGGCTGGCTGAGGCCCACAAGCCCCGCAGGCTGGGGCGGCTCAAGTGAGAGGCTTGGGGGACTGGGGGGGCCTGCCCCTCCCCTCCCCTCCCCTCCCCTCTCCTCCCCTCCCGGTCCCGTTACCCTGTTTCCTGTGCTTTCCTGTGGGAGGGGCCGTTGGGCTCTGTCCCCTGACACCCCCATCCTGCAGGTACCAGCCTCCCGACATCGACGTGCAGCTCAGCTCGGAGCTGTCCGACTCGCTCAGGACGCTGAAGGTGCCTGCTGGGGGGGGAGGTGGGGGGTGGGCTGCGGGGACCCTGTGCCCGGTGATGACCCCATCCTTGCTCCCCGTGCCCCCCGGGGCTGTGGGCGACACCTTGGCTACCCCTGGACTGGGCCAGGTGGGCCAGTGTCCAGGGGCTGAGGGCACAGGGTGCTGAGGGGCGGGGTGGTGGTCCCTGGTTTCCCAGCATCCTGCAGGGGTTGTCCTATGCCCAGAACTGCAGGCCCCTCCACTGTCCCCGAGCCCCTGGAGCTGAGCCCCCCTCCCCCCGCCCCGAGCCCCTGGAGCTGAGCCCCCCTCCCCCCTGCCCCGCAGCCCGAGGGCAACATCCTGCGGGACCGCTTCAAGAGCTTCCAGAGGAGGAACATGATCGAGCCCCGGGAGCGCGCCAAGTGAGGGCGGGGCCCGGGAGGGGCGGGGCCTGGGGGAGCGTGTGTGGGGTGGTGGGGCAGGGTGGGCGCCGGGCCTGCGGGGTCCGCCCTCCGCCCTGACTGCTCCTCCTCTTCCAGGTTCAAGCGCAAGTACAAAGTGAAGCTGGTGGAGAAGCGGGCGTTCCGCGAGATCCAGTGAGTGGGGCAGGCGTTTGTGCTGCGCTCCCCCGGACAGCCCACGGGACACCCCCAGACCTGGAGTGGGGCGGGCAGGGCTCCCAGAGGGAAACAGGGCCGGACCGAGGGCCCCTGCTCAGCCCCTGTCCTCCGTCCGCAGGTTGTAGCTGAGCGACGCCGGGCTGCCACCCCCAATAAAGCACCTGTGATCGGCCGCTCGGGCTGCACGTCTGGCTCGTCTCCCCTTCCCCCACCCCGAGGTCGGGGAGGCCGCGAGGGGCCGGGCAGGCAGGGGGCTTCCACCCGTCCCAGGCCCAGTGTGGGTGCATGGAGTGGCCGTGCCTGGTGCCCTCGGCCCCATCCTGAGTGTGGCCCTGCAGGTGTGGGAACGGCCATGGTGTGTGTGTGTTGGTGTGGACGGCAGGCGGCAGCCAGAGCCCGGGGGAAGCCGGTGCGCGTGCAGAGCCCGGAGTGCAGCCCCCTCACAGGGGCAGGGACGAGGCGCGTGCCCGGGCCGCCGGGAGCTCAGTGCGAGGTGGGGCCCAGTCCGTGGGGGGGGGGGGCAGGAAGCTGACTGGCAGCACTAGCATTCGGGAAGTTCCCGCGCTGTTGGGTGAAAGGTTGGCTCCCTGGGGTGTTGGCGGAGCTGACTTGAGTCTGGCTTCGTGGTTTGGCTAGAAGAGGTCCCTCCAAGGCTTCCAGGACGCAGACTCCAGGCGTGCCTCTGACCGCACAGCGTGTGGGGCGGGGGCAGCAGCTCGGGGCCGTGAGGAGCCTGGGACGCCTGCGCCCCGAGTCAGCGCCGGGTTTTGGGTCCCGGCTCGGCTTCCCATGCCGCTGCTCGCTCCTGGCACCCTGGGAGGTAGCAGCCGAGGGCTCAGGCACCCAGGTTCCTGCCCGCCATGTGGGAGGCCCCGTTTGAGTTCGTGGCCCCTGGTTGCTGGGGGAGGGCCCCCCCGAGCAAGAGATGTCTGTCTGTCTCCCTGTCCCATTAAAGCAGTGAGCGTCCCAGCCGCGTCGTGTCAGCTGTGTGACTTCGTGTGGTCGCTCGGCCTCTGCACCTGCACGCGGGGTCGTGCCTGGCTCCCCGCGGGTTGTTGGAGGGGCAGGGGATGCACACGTGTGCTCAGGACGTGGTGAGCTCGTGCAGCTGTGCTCACGCTGGGGGCGGGGCCCCAGTGGGCGCCCTGACTCCATGCCCCGGAGGAGGCGGCACAGGGCCTGGGCAGCACTGGTGAACAGGGGCAGGGACAGGCCTGTGCCCTAGTGGCCGTTAACCACCAAACAGGATGTGCTGCCGCCTCCGGGAAGCTGCTCTATTCTCCCCACATGTCCGTTATTCTCGCGGAGCAATTAAAGTCCAGGGCAAACATGTCTGCCCAGTGGAACAAAGGAGAGCAGGGAGGCCGGGCGCTGGGGCTGGGCCTCGAGTTGCATCCGGGTCTCCCAGGCGGGTGGGGGGGTAGGGCAGCTTCTGGGGGTCTGGGAGCCCCTGCTCTGCGTACTCGGAGCATGGGGAGTGCCTTCCCCTTCCCCTCTTCTGCCCAAGGCAGTCACCGTGGAGAAGAATTCCAGGATCTGCAGGGCCTGGGCCGCACCTGCTGCGCTCCCTCTGGGGCTTAGCGAGGGCTGCACAGGAGCCAGGATTTCCGCCACCTGTCTCCCATCCTTGTGTTGGCCCCAGGGAGGTGCTGTTGTGACTCCATATCACAGCTGAGGGCCTTGAGCCACAGAGGCGGGAAATGACTTGTCCAGATGGGAGATTCCAACCCAGGTCACGTCCACCCTGTTTGCAGGCCTCTCTTCTCCCCCCGAGCCGGCAGTCCTGGGTCCTGGCCCAGGAGTCTACATTTGGGCAGAGACTAATAAAAGGAGGGAGCTTCCTGGATAGGACAGTAGGTGCAAAGGCACTGGGGTTGGAAGGCCTTGGAAAGGCGGTGGGGGGGGGGGGCAGGGTCCTGCAGCCAGAGAGGAGGTGGGGTGAGAGGTCTGTCAAGCTGTGGACTGGGGCCCTGGCTGTGGGGGAGCAGGGGGCAGCTGTGGCGGGAGGGAGGCAGTCAGTGGTGCTGGAGCAAGGTGGGGTCACTGGAAGCCTGGGGAGGTGGGGCTCCCAGTGGGGCTTTGGGGACCTGCAGGCTGCAGCTTGGGGATCGGCTGGGAGACCTCGATGATGTCCCCGCACCAGTCACAAGCCCCCTGCATTCCAGCCTGGGCCAGGACCCCGGCCTCGAGGCAGGGAAGTGGGGAGAGTGTGGGGAGGTCGTGGGTCCTGGCCCTGGACAGGGGTCCCTAGTCACAACAGGACCGTGATTCCCCCTGCACAGGTCTGATGTTCGGGTCCTGGACTCCCGCAGGCCTCTGCGCAGCTGCCTGCCTAGGTGCTCCCCTGCCCAGCAGCCAGAGGGGCCAGCAGGAGCCGCTGCCATCCAGGAAGGGCTGGGGCTCGGGGCAGCGTGGGAGGCTGGGAGCTGGCGGCTGGAGGGGGGACGTGAGGGACATGGGGCTGCCTCAGGTCTCCATGGAAATAGCACTTGGCTGGCTTGCTGCCCATAAACTCATCCCTCCCTCCCTCTCATCCACTCTCTGCCCTGCCATCTAGAACCCAGCAGGGTCTACTTCCCGGCCACAGCGGGCAGGCAGGCGCAGCTTCTGGGGGAAGGCTGGGTTTCCCCCACAGCAGATGATGGGAGAGAGCAGGGCAGGGGCCGTGGAAGTCGCATACGGCGAGTGCTCAGGAACGCAGGGCCAGTCCTGACTTGGCTGGAGGAGCCCACACAGGTGTGGAACAATCGGGTGGCAAAGATCCGCCCGTCCATGTAGCACCTGTCCACCTGCTCCTCTCCATCCACTCAGCAGGTACACCCGTCCACCTACTCACCCTCATCCATCCACCCACCCTCCTGCCGGCACTGATCCTTGTCACAGCACTACCAAGTGCTCCCAGACGCCTGGCGGTGCCGTATTCCTCTGTAGCCTGCACCCAAATCCGCCGCATCTGGGTGCTGTGATCCCCTGACAGCCAGGGGCTCAGGGTCTGGGGAATTTTGCCACGGATGGAAGTAGAGTGTGTAAGTTCACATTTTAAAAAAAATCTGAAATGTGCTGCTTCCATTCCAGGATGCAACTGGCCAAGGGTGGCTCTGGACAGGAAGTGAAATCTGACACACACACACCCCATTCCAAGGCCTGATGCTGGCTGGTGAGAGATAAGCTTAGCTTAGAGGGAGATAAGAACTCTCCTGGTGCTAACAAATGATTTGCTTTCCTGTCCCACATGGGGGTTCAGGCAGTTGTTCCCAGAGGGTTTGTAAAACTCCGATGATAAGCCGGCTTTGTGAAGATAATGATATCCAGTGGGAAGCTTTCTAGATGTGATCTGAGTGCCCAGGGCTGTTCCGGCTTTCCTTGCTGGGCACAGGGAAGAGGCTGGATGGATAACATCAGAAAGTCAGAGCGTCCCTCCGATGGTTCACTCCCCAGATGCCCACCAGGAAGAGGGGACAGGAGACGCAAACTCTGAACAGGACACAGCCTGCACCGTGGGGGAAGCTGGCGATGCCGTGCCAAGGCCACGCTGGGCCCAGAAGGCCTCCCCCTCTGTGGTCCTGTTGGCCCGCATTGCCCCGTCGTCTGCAGAGGCAGAGATGGGCAGTGCCAGCAGCCGGGCACAGAGACCGGGAACAGATGAGAAGGACTTGGAGGTCGAGGTGACGGCTGCACACACTTCCCAATGGCAGCTTTCGGCTTGTGTGTGTTTCACCCTAAGTGTACAAACTGCACCCGGTCACTTCCTCGCCCAGCAGTGAGACCCCAGCCCCAGCTCAGCACCTGGGTTCAACTCCTGGCTGCAGCTCCCTGCTGATGCGCTCCCTGGGAGGCAGCAGCGATGGGTCCCTGCCACCCACCTGGGAGACCTGGGTGGAGTCCCCAGCTGTGCATTTAGGGAGTGAGCCAGCGGTGGGAGCTGTCCATCATGTGTGGGTGGGTGTGTATCTCAGACTCTGTCCCTGTTTTTTTTTTTTTGTTTTTTTTTTTTTTTTGTTTTTTTTTGACAGGCAGAGTGGACACAGAGAGAGACAGAGAGAAAGGTCTTCCTTTGCCGTTGGTTCACCCTCCAATGGCCGCTGTGGCCGGCACACCGCGCTGATCCGAAGCCAGGAGCCAGGTGCTTCTCCTGGTCTCCCATGGGGTGCAGGGCCCAAGCATTTGGACCATCCTCCACTGCACTCCGGGGCCACAGCAGAGAGCTGGCCTGGAAGAGGGGCAACCGGGACAGAATCTGGCGCCCCAACCGGGACTAGAACCTGGGGTGTTGGCGTCGCAGGCAGAGGATTAGCCTAGTGAGCCGCAGCGCCGGCCGTGACTGTGTTTTTTAAAAAAGGGGACCATTTAAAAAGGAAGCTCTGTGAATGTGTTAAATGCTACCGACTCACACTTTAATGCAGTTAATTTTTAAAAGAGGAGAATCAAACAGGTGGCAGTGCGCTCTGTCCATCCCTAGCTGAGCTGGAGCAAGGCGGGCAGGGGCAGGGATGGCTGAGCGCACAAAGGCGCCTGGTCCCAGGGCCAGGCCATGGCTTGGACTTGGAGTGACCGGCGCCCTCTGGTGGCCGTCTGGGGTACAGGTTGTAGGAACTGGGAATTTAGTATTTTCAAAACTTTTTGCCTGGAGACGACCTATTCCTGGTTCACTCTTCAAATGGCCGCAATGGCTAGGGCTGGGCCAAGCCAGGAGCCAGGATCTCCATCCAGGTCTCCCACGCGGGTGCAGGGGCCCAAGCACTTGGGCCATGTTCTGCTGCTTTCCCAGGCCTTTAACAGGGAGCTGGGTCTGAGGCGGAGCAGCTGGGACTTGAACCGGTGCCCATGTAGGTGCTGCAGGTAGGGGCTTAACCTGCCCCGGGCCACGGCGCCAGCCCTGCTGGTAGAGTTCTGTGTTGCTGTGTGTGTGTTTAGACTGGGCGTTCGTGAGCTTGTTCATGTGCACAGCTGTGTTGTGGGGTCAGTGGCGTGTGCCCGGGATGGACCTCTGTGGCCCCGGCTGGGAGCGTGGAGTATGTTGTGTCGCTGTGCGTCTGTGTCCGTGTGGTGCCAGTGTGTGCCGTGCACGTGGCTGTGCAGTGTGGCGCACCCGCGGGGCCTCTGTGCTGTCCCAGTAGCAGAGGTGGGGGCCGCCGGCTGGGCTGGGTCGTGTGGCTGGGTGAGTGCCGTGTGTCACCTTGGCCCCCGTGCCTGTGGGACACAGAGCCAGCCCTGCGCAGCTGTGGACGTTGTGTCCATTTGGGTAGGGAACCAGCAGATGGAAGACCTGTCTGTAACTCTGCCTCTCAAATAAATAAGTGAAAGATTTAACAGGAGCACGGGTCGAGAAGGGGCTGGGCTCATGAACCCAGAGAGGATGGTAGGAACAGGCAGGCACACCTAGCCCGGCAGAGGGGGGCAGCACGCGTGGGGCAGGGTCAGCGGCCGGCCTCACAATGGTGGGCGCCTTAATGAGGGTTGCACTGTGTCTCCTCCAAAGCGAGTCCCAAGCCCACTGTCTCTCCAGGGCATTTTGGTTGGTTCACTCCCCAGATGGCCGCAGCAGCCAGGGCTGAAAGGTGGAAGCCAGGAGCTGGCAGCGGGGAGGGCACTGGGAGAAAATTCCAAGCCTGGGACGGCCTGGGGCACCTGACTGTGAGCCTTCCACTCCACCCAGCCCGTCCGAACCGCTCTCCAGGCAGGACACGCCCGTCATTAAATTCCTGGGCTCTGGGCTCGGGAGAGATCACACAGCCTGCCAGGGACTGAGTTGGCCCTGGACTTGGCTCGCCCAGACTTGTTTCCCTGCCCACGGGAGGGGCTGATCTTTCCTCTGGTTTCCCCCGCTCCCCCCTGGCTCACGGCAGCCCCACTCCCACGCGGGTCCAGGCCCTGGCTCTGCACTGCCCCGCACTCCCCCGGGTGGCCACCGCAGCCTTCGTCCCCGCGGCCTCCAGCGGACCTGGGAATGCAGGCGAACATCCCCTGCT